TAAAAAAATCAGACTTGAGTACAAATACTGAAGGAAGCGTCTCATAAATCTACCATACACCCCCATTCACTGGCTTTGCATATATCCAAGCGTTCTCCACAGTCTTGTTCTGTATTATGTGTACTACCCTTGACGACCAGGATTAGAATTGGCCTTTTTCAACCGATGCTTGTCTCAAGAGGCAACTTTGCTTGTCACAGCAGGCGACTAATCGGATTGGGTGGTCAGTCTCGCTGGCTTGATTCATTTCTCAATTGCCAATTGCTACAGTACCTTATTTTTGACGGCGTTGTTTAAAGCAAACCATTTGCGGATTAGAATATGGTCGAGGTCGGAAATTGGTTAAGTAGACTCTGGGAAACTGTGGCACACGCAAATTTGGTAGCGGTAATGTCCTGCAAACGGTGACTATCTTTTGACGGAGTTGGTACAAGCAAACTATATGCGGATTCGAACATGGTCGAAGTCAAACATGGGTTAAGAACACACTGGGACACATGTGGTGATGTCTCACAAGCGGTTCATTACATTTGACGACGTTGGTACAACCAAACCATTTGGGGATTCGAACATGGTCGAAGTCAAACATGGGTTAAGAACACACTGGGACACATGTGGTGATGTCTCACAAGCGGTTCATTACATTTGACGACGTTGGTACAACCAAACCATTTGGGGATTCAAACATGGTCGAAGTCAAACATGGGTTAAGAACACACTGGGACACGTGTGGTGATGTCTCGCAAGCGGTTCCTTACATATGATGGCGTTGGTACAAGCAAACCATTTGAGGATTCGAACATGGTCGAAGTTGGAAATTGGTTAAAACATCCTGGGACACCCAAGCACATGTCAATTTAGTAGTGGTGATGTCTCACAAGAGGTTCCTTACATTTGACGGCGTTGGTACAGGTAAACTCTTTGAGGATTCGAATATGAACGATGTCGGAAACAAGTTTAGCACTTTATCTCAGCAATGCGACAGGAACCCGGGGTCCGGACGAACGCAGAACGCTAATCCGTTTGACTGGAGCCCAACTGACAAAGAAGTTACAGCCTGTTAAAGAGTCACCAAGCCGAAAGGCTGAAGAGCCCCAGTGTTAGCGTTTGATTTAATATTATTATTATTCCGCCGATTTTTGTACCAGAGCTAGCAAAATAACCACTGGCTCGATTTTGTTCAAATTTTGTATGTGTATGAAGACCGTTGGGTACTAGTGCCCGCCAAAAACCCAAGGCCGTAGGCCCAAACGCCAAGGGTAGATAACTAAAAATCAAGACTTTTTAAAGATGTCTTTCGCCCTATTGCTCCGCAACCGCTTATCAGATTACTTTGAAAACTTGCATGTATCTGCTGCTTGAGCTGCTTGACATATTTTGTTCTTTGACTTTGGTCATTGGTCAAATGGTTTGGCAGCCATATTGGATTCAAGGTTTTCACAGTGTCTTTTGGGTACCTGTCTTCAAACGTAAACAACTCCGAGTCCACTGCATGAAATGCTTCCAAATTTTCTGAGAATTGTCTCCACACACAACACAGCAAACTCTCATAGCCGTTTTGGGATATCTGTTTTAGTTGCGGTTGTATTGGAATTTGATTTTGATAAAAAAAATTACCGAAATTTTACTTTAACGATCATATCTTGTTAGCTTGTTGACAGAAACTATTGCAAGTTTACATGAAGTTAGGTATCATATGCATCTTATTTTCTGTTCTTGGGTGCATGGAAAAAGTAACAACACTTGGTGGTAATATTTGATTAGAATTTGGGACACCCCTGGAACACGCCAATGTCCTGCAAACGGTAACTATCTTTGACAGAGTTGGTACAAACAAACCCTTTGAGGATTCGAACATGTTTGATGTCGGAAATGGGTTTAAAACAGACTTAGCACACGCCAATTTCGTAGCGGCAATACCCTGCAAGTTGTGCCTACATGTGACGGATTTGGTACAAGGAAACCCTTTAAGGATTCGAACATGGACGTTTGTGCACAGTGTAACTTGGAGCCCGCCATTGCTGCTTGCAGCTTTAATTATCATTGTTATTATTAAGATGCAAATTATGTAAAATGCAAATGTGTGGTCTTCTTGAGAGGGGGGGGGGGGGGGGGGGGGCAGAGAGAGAGGGGGGGGGGGGCTGAGATACTACGCACACAGACACAGAGGGAGGGAGAGAGCGAAAGAGAGTATGGGAAACATTCATCTAAGTTAATACAGGAAAGAAATTATTTTAGGCGAAGAAGGGAGAGGGAAATTTTCAAATATCTATATAATCAAAACATCTGGTCCTCGAATTATGAAACATATTCCAACTTAAATCATGCATTCAAATATGAACAAAGTTTCGACATCAACGTATTTCCCTTTAATCATAAACACATTCCTGTATGACACGCGGAAAAGTACTTCTATCGCTTCCACGAAATATACCTGCGGGATGGACCGTTTGATATTTCACAACATGCACAGTGAATTCGAAGGCGGAGCTTAAGGCAGGCCTTGCGCAATGCAGCCCGCACGTCGATAGACGTAAACGACCATGCCAGTACAACGTAAATAGCAAGGCTGGCCTATATCTGTATTCATAGCAGGCCATCGGTTTCAGGGACCCTACATTCCATTTCACAGCGCCTCGGATATACTCGCAAAACATGAGCACTGGTAAGTGATCAAATCCGTTGGGTTTGAATATGGACTGGAACAACATTGTAACAGATACGTGTGTCTGCATTACGTGACAGATACGTGTGTCTGGATGAAGTGACAGATACGTGTGTCTTTATGACGTGACAGATACGTATGTCTGGTACGACGTGAAAGATACGGGTCTGTACGACGTGACAGATACGTGTGCCAGATTGAAGTGACAGAGATACGTGTGTCTGAATGAAGTGACAGATACGTGTGTCTGCATTACGTGACAGATACGTGTGCCTGTATGAAGTGACAGATACGTGTGTCTGTATGAAGTGACAGAGATACGTGTGTCTGTATGAAGTGACAGATACGTGTGTCTGTATGAAGTGACAGATACGTGTGTCTAGATGAAGTGACAGATACGTGTGTCTGCATTACGTGACAGATACGTGTGCCTGTATGAAGTGACAGATACGTGTGTCTGTATGAAGTGACAGATACGTGTGTCTGTATGAAGTGACAGATAAGTGTGTCTGCATTACGTGACAAATACGTGTGTCTGCATTACGTGACAGATACGTGTGCCTGTATGAATTGACAGATACGTGTGTCTGTATGAAGTGACAGAGATACGTGTGTCTGTATGAAGTGACAGATACGTGTGTCTGGATGAAGTGACAGAGATACGTGTGCCTGTATGAAGTGACAGATACGTGTGCCTGTATGAAGTGACAGATACGTGTGTCTGTATGACGTGACAGATACGTGTGTCTGTATGACGTGACAGATACGTGTGCCAGTTTGAAGTGACAGATACTTGTGTCTGTATGAAGTGACAGATACGTGTGTCTGGATGAAGTGACAGATACGTGTGTCTGTATGAAGTGACAGATACGTGTGTCTGGATGAAGTGACAGAGATACGTGTGCCTGTATGAAGTGACAGAGATACGTGTGTCTGTATGACGTGACAGATACGTGTGTCTGTATGACGTGACAGATACGTGTGCAAGTTTGAAGTGACAGATACGTGTGTCTGGATGAAGTGACAGATACGTGTGTCTGGATGAAGTGACAGATACGTGTGTCTGTATGAAGTGACAGATACGTGTGTCTGCGTTACGTGACAGATATGTGTGTCTGTATGAAGTGACAGATACGTGTGTCTGTATGAAGTGACAGATACGTGTGTCTGGATGAAGTGACAGATACGTGTGTCTGGATGAAGTGACAGATACGTGTGTCTGCATTACGTGACAGATACGTGTATCTGCATTAATTGACAGATACGTTTGCCTGTATGAAGTGACAGATACGTGTGTCTGCATTACGTGACAGATACGTGTGTCTGTATGAAGTGACAGATACGTGTGTCTGCATTACGTGACAGATACGTGTGTCTGTATGAAGTGACAGATACGTGTGTCTGCATTACGTGACAGATACGTGTGTCTGCATTACGTGACAGATACGTGTGTCTGTATGAAGTGACAGATACGTGTGTCTGTATGAAGTGACAGATACGTGTGTCTGCATTACGTGACAGATACGTGTGTCTGTATGAAGTGACAGATACGTGTGTCTGGATGGCAGCCGAGATATATCTGTGACACGTCTCACTATGTGAGCAGCCTGGAAAGGGAGCTATATACATATAGCTTATTCATTGTTATCTTTATTGTTTTTTACATTATTGTTATTTATTAACAACAAAAAACAACAACTATTCCACCACCACTACTACTACTACTACTATTATTATTATTATTATTATTATTATTATTATCATTGTTATTATTAAGATACAGATTATGTAAAATGCAAATGTATGGTCTTCTTGAGAGAGGGGGGGGGGGGGGGAGAGGGGGAGACCATACAGAGAGAGAGAGAAGGGGGGGGGGGGCTGAGATACTACGCACACAGACCCAGAGGGAGGGAGAGAGCGAAAGAGAGTATGGTAAACATTCATCTAAGTTAATACAGGAAAGAAATTATTTTAGGCGAAGCAGGGAGAGGGAAATTTTCAAATATCTATATAATCAAAACATCTGGTCCTCGAATTATGAAACATATTCCAACTTAAATCATGCAATCAAATATGAACAAATGAAGTTTCGACATCAACGTATTTCCCTTTAATCATAAAGACATTCCTGTATGACACGCGGAAAATTTCTATCGCTTTCACAAATATACCTGCGGGATGGACCGTTTGATATTTCACAACATGCCCTTGCGTTGAACTCCTCTACATGACCTTCCCACGATAACCTAATAGTTAGAGGTGTGCCTAGAACAGTGTCAGGAGTACCGGACAGAGAAACTGCATAGTGAATTCGAAGGCGGAGCTTAAGGCAGGCCTTGCGCAATGCAGCCCGCACGTCGATAGACGTAAACGACCACGCCAGTACAACGTAAATAGCAAGGCTGGCCTATATCTGTATTCATAGCAGGCCTCACTCTCAGGAGCCATCGGTTTCAGGGACCCTACATTCCATCTCACTACGCCTCGGATATACTCGCAAAACATGAGCTCTGGTAAGTGATCAAATCCGTTTGGTTTGAAAATGGACTGGAACAATATTGTACCAATGGCTGGATTAGTTTTTGTAGTAATAAGTTGTTAAGGTAGTTTGGAATTCCATCCTTGCTGATTACCAGGGGAAGATCCAGGATATTTTAAAACGGGGGGTTCAACTTTGGCCACTTGCAACTCCAGTGTGTGTGTGTGTTGTTGTTGTTTTTTGGGGGGAGTTTTTGGTTAGGGAGAGGGGGTGGGGTTTGGGGCACACATAAGCCCATCCAAAAAATCACAAATATGAGTTATATACCCCCGAGAATCCCCCTCCTGGAACCGCCATTGCCTGCTATCTAGGTCGCGTTTTATCTCATTGTTTCAAGCTCTGGGGAGAGACTGCCGCCAGCTGCCTGTGGGCTGGCAGCATAGCGTTATAGGGAGACAGTGCGGAATTCATCGGACAAACATAGCATCTGTTATTTTCTGTTTTTGTTTTTTTATGTGTCCTCGGGCAAATGTTTTATAGAGTGTTTGAATATAATTGCGTGTGTGCTTCCCCCGGGTTTTATATAGATATATAACTAGCCAGTAACAATTGTACAAATATTGAATATATAGTTTATCCCGCTGTGTCAACTAGTAGTCACTTCCATTATGTTAGGTACACAGTAATCCCGTTTTAAATTAAATGAACTGAACTTTGCAAACATGTATGTCAAGGATATTAAATCATAACTGAAAATAATTCAAATTCAATAATTTTACAAACAACACTTAATTCCATTTAAAAAAACGTCAATATGCTTGGCGATACTATTGTTATTTATTCAGTTATGTTATTAAATGTAAATGTCATGGCTTCAATATTGACATTTTCCGAAACACTAAATGTTAACAAGCTGTATGCTTCACCACTGTTCATTTGCCGTGACGTGGTGACAATACAAATGTCCTACCCAGCATACAGTTCGTCAGGCTGACGTAAAGCTCTTCGCTTGAGCACACCGAAACAGGTTTGCCCGCAGCGAATGGTATGAGATCTAAGATTGGACCCACCTGTGCTGTAAACAGGATACGGCTAAAGGGAGCGGTGTGTATTGTCGAGGTCACGGCTAGTTTCCAGTGATCTCTTGTTGAAGATCACATCATGTCAGGAATGTTAAAAGTAACGTACGTTTTGAATACATTAAGAATGCCCTTGTCTCATTCTCAACTTCTTGGAGACTGAAGCTGACGCCAGCTATTTTTAAGTTTGGTGTAGGGACCATTGACCTGGTCATTCTGGGAAGGAAAAGCGGTAGAAACATTTCTCGCGGGACGTTGTTTGGACGCGCTCATGCATGCAGCTGGAGATTGTGGCAACAGCTTAGTGTCTGTCGGGTTAAGAAACAGCCAGGTCACGACCAGTTCATTTCTGGCTGGTATAATTATTCTTTCTGGAGTCACGTAGCGCTTTTAGCGTTATTGTTTGTTTGTTGTTTAACGCCGCACTAAGCAATATTCCAGCTATATGACGGCGGTCTGTAAATAATAGAGTCTGGACCAGACAATCCAGTGAACATGAACATCGATCCACGCAATTGGGATACAATGACATGTATCAACCAAGTCAGCGAGCCTGACCACCCGATCCCGTTAGTCGCCTTAGTCAGGCTCGCATATAATGCGAGGGGATACAGCGATCAGCCAGTCTGTCCGTCCGTCCGTCCGTCTGTCCGTAATCATTTCCTTTTCCGTGGCAGAACTCGAAAACAATTCAGTGTATTTGATCGAAACTTGGCAAATCTATCAGTCACATACTGAAGTTGTGCCTTTTGCTATTTAGGAACAATTTGGACTTAGGTTATATAAGGGTGGTGTTCATTTCTGGAGCGTAACTCAAAATCCGTTAAATACTTTCTTACCAAACTTTGCATGTCTACCAGGCACATACTGAACTGGTGCCTTTTCCTATTAAGGAATTTTATAAATTTTTATTTTTTACGTTTCCATGGCAACAAGTTGGATTTAAGTTTTAATATAGGGTGGGTTCACTTATGGAGTAAAACAAATAAACTGTTAAATATTTCCTTGCCAAACATTGCATGTCTATATATAAAGCACATACTGAACTGGTGCCATTTGATATTAAGGAGTTTAAGAAATGTGTTTTTTTAGAATTTCCATTGCAGCTTTTTTGACATGGGCTAAGAGAAATGTTGGGTCAGTTACCTGGTTTGGGACCATAACGTGTTAAAATGGGCGGGGGATATAGATGACTTCGTTGACTATACGCTTGTTTAGTTATTGTTTCTTGTGATTTGTCATTTGTTTGCATAAAAAAACAAAACAGAAACACACTTGTTATACTTTCCATATCATATGGATGCGACCATGGTGGATCTTTTGTGGGTAAATAATGTATGCTTCTTCAAGAACATTCAACTCTTGATGGCTCGACTATAAGAGCAATGTCTAATGGCTTCCCACTGTCGGCAGCTCGCCTGATGTCTCCACTATAAGAGCAATGTCTAATGGCTTCCCACTGAAGGCAACGTATCTGATGTCTCCACTATAAGAGCAATGTCTAATGGCTTCCCACTGAAGGCAACGTATCTGATGTCTCCACTATAAGAGCAATGTCTAATGGCTCCGAACTGAAGGCAACTTGCCTGATGGCTCCACTATAAGAGCAATGTCTAATGGCTTCCCACTATCGGCAGCTTGCCTGATGTCTCCACTATAAGAGCAATGTCTAATGGCTTCCCACTATCGGCAGCTTGCCTGATGGCTCCACTATAAGAGCAATGTCTAATGACTTCCCACTATCGGCAGCTTGCCTGATGGCTCCACTATAAGAGCAATGTCTAATGACTTCCCACTATCGGCAGCTTGCCTGATGACTCCACTATAAGAGCAATGTCTAATGGCTTCCCACTATCGGCAGCTTGCCTGATGGCTCCACTATAAGAGCAATGTCTAATGACTTCCCACTATCGGCAACTCGCCTGATGTCTCCACTATAAGAGCAATGTCTAATGACTTCCCACTATCGGCAGCTTGCCTGATGGCTCCACTATAAGAGCAATGTCTAATGGCTTCCCACTATCGGCAACTCGCCTGATGTCTCCACTATAAGAGCAATGTCTAATGGCTTCCCACTATCGGCAGCTTGCCTGATGGCTCCACTATAAGAGCAATGTCTAATGGCTTCCCACTATCGGCAGCTCGCCTGATGTCTCCACTATAAGAGCAATGTCTAATGGCTTCCCACTATCGGCAGCTTGCCTGATGACTCCACTATAAGAGCAATGTCAAATGGCTCCTCATTGAAGGCAACTCGCCTGATGTCTCCACTATACGAGCAATGTCAAATGGCTCCTCATTGAAGGCAACTTATCTGATGTCTCCACCATAAGAGCAATGTCAAATGGCTCCTCATTGAAGGCAACTCGCCTGATGTCTCCACTATAAGAGCAATGTCAAATGGCTCTTCATTGAAGTCAACTTTCCTGATGTCTTCACTATAAGAGCAATGCCAAATGGCTATTAATTGAAGGAAACTTATCTCACGACGTGTTCGAGACCGGACTAATGTTTTTAATGTCGGTTTCGCTAGCCCCCTGAGACAGCATGCCACAGCACTCAAACACATTATGGGGCGGTCGGGTAGCCTAGTGGTTACGGCGTTAGCTCGTCACGCCGAAGACCCGGGTTCGAATCCCGACATGGGTACAATGTGTGAAGCCCATTTCTGGTGTCCCCCGCCGTGATATTGCTATATTATTGCTAAAAGCGGCGTAAAACCATACTCACTCACTCACCCAAACTCATTATACATGATATTGATTCCAAACCGGCGGAACCGGCCATTATTAATAGAATGGAAGTAAACGATCTTTATGAGATTCCTATAGCGTATCAGCTACGTGGAAGGCGGTGTTTAAACTGACACAACCCTGCATTTCAGCATATTTTGCCTACCATGGACATACCATGATTACCGTATTGAGAGTGTGACCCGTGAAGACCCGGGTTAGAATTGGTCTTCAGCAACCCATACTTGCCGTAAAAGGCGACTAACGGGATCGGGTGGTCAAGCTCACTGACTTAGTTGATGCATGTCATCGTATCCCAATTGCGTAGATCGATGCTCATGATATCCATCACTGGATTGTCTGGCCCAGACTCTATTACTTACACACCGCCGTCATATAGCTGGAATATTGCTGAGTGTGGCGTTAAACAAGAAAAAACAAAAAACTCATTGTGTGAGTGAGTGAGTATGGTTTTACGCCGCCCCCAGCAGTATTCTAGCAGTATCACGGCGGGGGACACCAGGAATGGGCTAAACACATTGTACGGAAGTCGAGGAATCAAACGAGGGATCTTCGGCGTGACGCGCGAAGTCTTTAACCACTAGGCTATCCCAACGCCCTTCAACAAGTACCGATACAGACCATTATCATGCTTAAGGGGCATTTATATAGGAATGTATTGTTGGTATGCTTGGTAGTGCAGTCGTAGTTATAGTTACTAATTGCAGCCCAGCTGTGTAAAATGGCAACCCACCAAGGTCCATGCGCTAGGAGCAGCATGTCTGACATTTCAGTCCACTTAGGCAAAATAACCGATGTCAGCCTTTCATATGTCAATTTAGCGTTATAATCTGCAAATGTGAGGGGCCAAGGTCGAGTACATTGATTGAGGTGCAAAACCACTGTAGTGTATTGATACTAATCGCAGATTACTTCCCCGACAGGAACCTTGTTGCACTGTTCTGCAAAATTGTTAATAACTATAAACAAGTCTCTACTCAATAATACGTCCGATATGTCTAACCTTATAGGGGCGGTCGGGTCGCCTAGAGGTTAAAGCGTTCGCTCGTCACGTCGAAGACCCAGTTTCGATTCCCGACACGGGTACAATGTGTGAAGCCCATTTCAGGTGTCCCCCGCCGTGATATTGCTGGAATATTGCTAAAAGCGGCGTAAAACCATACTCACTCACTCTATCCTTATAATACATGTTATAGGCTTGA